TGTCCTCCTTTCCCCTACCTGTCCCCAGGTGTCTCACCTGTCCCCAGGTGTTTCAGGTGTCCCCAGGTGTCCCCACTCGTCTCACCTGTCCCCAGGTGTTTTACCTGTCCCCAGGTGTCCCCAGCTGTCCCTAAGTGTCCCCAGGTGTTTTTACCTGTCCCCAGGTGGTCTCAGGTGTGCTCACCTGTCCCCAGGTGTCTGATCTGTCCCCAGGTGTCTCACCTGTGCTCAGGTGTTTCAGGTGACCCCAGGTGTCCCCAGTCGTCTCACCTGTCCCCAGGTGTTTTTACCTGTCCCCAGCTGCTCTCAGGTGTGCTCACCTGTCCCCAGGTGTCCCCAGCTGTCCCTAAGTGTCCCCAGGTGCTCTCAGGTGTGCTCACCTGTCCTCAGGTGTCTGATCTGTCCCCAGGTGTGCTCACCTGCGTGCCAGTTGCTCCTGAGTGTCCCCAGTTGCCCCCCAGGTGTCCCTGCTGCCCTCCAGTGTTCCCCAGGTGTCTCACCTGTCCCCAGGTGTTTTTACCTGTCCCCAGGTGTTTTCAGGTGTCTCACCTGTGTTACCTGCAGGAGCACAAGGTGCTGCTGACGGGGACGCCGCTGCAGAACACGGTGGAGGAGCTGTTGGGCTCCCCTCGGTGTCTCACCTGTCCCCAGGTGTTTTTACCTGTCCCCAGGTGTTCCCAGGTGTTCTTAGGTGTCTCACCTGTCCCACCTGCAGGAGCACAAGGTGCTGCTGACGGGGACGCCGCTGCAGAACACGGTGGAGGAGCTGTTGGGCTCTCCTCGGTGTCTCACCTGTCCCCAGGCGTTTTTACCTGTCCCCAGGTGTTCTCAGGTGTCTCACCTGTCCCCAGGTGTTTTTACCTGTCCCCAGGTGTTCTCAGGTGTTCTCAGGTGTCTCACCTGTCCCACCTGCAGGAGCACAAGGTGCTGCTGACGGGGACGCCGCTGCAGAACATGGTGGAGGAGCTGTTGGGCTCCCTTGGTGTCTCACCTGTCCCCAGGTGTTTTTACCTGTCCCCAGGTGTTCCCAGGTGTTCTCAGGTGTCTCACCTGTCCTACCTGCAGGAGCACAAGGTGCTGCTGACGGGGACGCCGCTGCAGAACACGGTGGAGGAGCTGTTCAGCCTCCTGCACTTCCTGGAGCCCCAAAGG